CCAGCTCTAAGCAGCTTCAGGCTGAGCCAGTCAGTCCAAATCCTTTCGCGCCGTCCACGCAGGCTCGTCATTTCTTGGCCTGCCGTTCAGCACCCAGGTAGCTTGCACCGCAAACAGTCGATCGAGGCACCCTTCCAAGTTGGTGGATCTTCGTTAAGCCTTTGGGACGTTTTTGATTTCCCCCACCCATGGCAGCCCCACAACGCTGGCATAGCGGTGAACCGACGCAGGGAACCCGCGTCCTTCGCGTTTGAATGGCGGGTTCAAGGCTGTTCGGATAAAAATCCACCATGGGCCATAACATGTTGTATCACTAGGCTGGGCTCTGGGAGGCTCACACCGAAGGGACTGAAACTGAGGTAGGGACGGCGACGGCAGTAAAACGATCATGAAACGTTGGACCAAAACACCGAAAAAAACACATCGAATCGCTGATACGTCCAGCGATTCGTCAATCGTCCAAATCGCACCTGGTAGCCCCAGTTTCACAAAGAGACAATCCAATGAATTGTCCGGTGGAAAATGGGAACACTGAGCTTGTTGCGATGGCTTCTGGGCTGCAAAAGAGTTGCCCTTGGTCCAAAACTTACCTGTCCGATCCGGATCTTCGACTACAGCCCCAAAAGTCTCCACACCGTTCAGAAACTCGCCATGATATCTGAACCTGAATTTCTAGAGGAAAGGACCATTGAACATTCCAAGTAACCATCCTCAGCTTCGCTCCACGTTTGGGTCCTGGACCTGACCCCCTCGACCCGACCGGGGTCCGGTCGCTTCGCCTCCTTGACGCGAAAGCCCAAGTTGATGCTCGCCCTGGACGCGGATTGTTGACTCGGTGGGTGACCGGGGTGTCCAGCGACTGGAGGGTCAGCGACGAAACACCCCACCGGAACCGAAATGCGAATTCGTGATGCCCCCACCTTCCCTTGCTTCGGAGATTGTTCGGTCTCTGTAAGAGACATGTGACAAGTGAGTGACTCAAGTTCACACATGGTGGATTGCTTGGTCAAAGCCACTGAAGTCATATCAGATATGGGTGATCTGTTCTGCAGAAGTCAAAGAATATGAGGGTGACTGGTCAGATTAGACAAACCCACACCGGCCGTGCCATGGTCGCGAACAAAACATGGCTGTGCCATGCCGTGCCTGGAAGCATGTCGGCAAAAGTGAAGACGTGGTCTCTTTGTAGCAAAAACAATCCCAGAAGTCCATGGAGTGGTACAAGGAACATCACTTGTTCACTCTCCAAAGTTGAGTAGACCATGAGTATACTTTTTGCACTCAAAGGGCCTGATCTTCCCCAAAAGCCGATCGGATCGTTATCACAAGGCTGACCGAGTTTGGCAAGGTTTCACTCTTCCATCTCTTCTGAGTCTCACAAGCAGAACTATCTTCGTTGTTGCACACCACACGTTGCCACCGCGACTTGCTGCTAGGAAGGAGCCACAAAGAAGATTGGCGTTCACAGCCTGTAACTGCACGGAGCACAATCATTGCATCCACCTTCCAAGCATGATCCAGTTTAGTCTAGGTTTGGGCACCAGTATCTTTGGTTTAGACCCAGGCTAGCTTAATCCATATAAACCCTTTGAATAGATGGTTCCAACTCCAGTCCATGGAGAGTCTCCCGGGGGCCGTTCGCAACGAAGCCAGTTGACAAAACCTGGTGCCGGTGCCCTGACCGAATGCCCGCCCAATGGCGCCTCACTGATCCCATGTTCATCTCCTAACCAGTCCGACGAGTCCACTGGTCGCGTCCGATCGCTCCGCTCGTCGCGATGCGCAACATGTTACGAGTAGCTTCCAGTTGCTCCTAGTAGTAAGGCCAGGAGCTACTGGTAGCAGCGATGGCCTTTGTTACTAGTAGCTTCCATGTAGTTCCTAGTAAGGCCAGGAGCTACTGGTAGCAGCGATGGCCTTTGTTGCTAGTAGCTTCCAGTTCCTAGTAAGGCCAGGAGCTACTAGTAGCAGCGATTGCCTTTTTTTTATTTTAGCTTCCTACTAGTAAGGCCAGGAGCTACTAGTAGCAGCGATGGCCTTTGTTGCTAGTAGCTTCCAGTTCCTAGTAAGGCCAGGAGCTACTGGTAGCAGCGATGGCCTTTGTTACTAGTAGCTTCCATGCAGTTCCTAGTAAGGCCAGGAGCTACTGGTAGCAGCGATGGCCTTTGTTGCTAGTACCTTCCATGCAGTTCGTAGTAAGGCCAGGAGCTACTGGTAGCAGCGATGGCCTTTGTTGCTAGTAGCTTCCAGTTCCTAGTAAGGCCAGGAGCTACTAGTAGCAGCGATGGCCTTTGTTACTAGTAGCTTCCTACTAGTAAGGCCAGGAGCTACTAGTAGCAGCGATGGCCTTTGTTGCTAGTAGCTTCCAGTTCCTAGTA